GAGAGAGAGAGAGAGAGAGAGAGAGAGAGAGAGAGAGAGAGAGAGAGAGAGAGAGAAAGATGTATTGTGTGTGTGTGTGTGTGTGTGAGAGGCGCAATCAATCAATCAATCAATAATATGAAGATCCTATCCATACGATAGGATCTTCATTTTCAGTTATATATATATATATATATATATATATATATATTAATGCCTAAACGACATTGGACGTGGTTTTAAAAAATACAGGGGTGTAGAGTTTAAAAAACTCTACATCCCTGTATTTTTTTTATTTTTTTTCCAATTTGTTTTCGAAGGGAAAAAAAAAATCCAAACTCTGGACCGCGGCATCTTGGCCGCATCCGACCTCGGCGGTCGGGTACCCGACCGCGGGCCGAGATGGACCCCGCGGTCATGACCGCGGGGGATACATAGGTCGGTGCGGGTTTTGTTATTGTTGATACGCACTTCCCGCCCTATTCATTGTTGTTGCCGTTTAACGAGTTGATCGTTATCCCGTGGATGGCAGCAGAGCCTCATTGGCCTAACACTCTGTGCAGCGATTGTCACCGCTTCGAGCGTTACAGAGCCAGGGGTTTCCACTACCGCACACGTAGCGAGGACGAGCATAAGGAGAGGGCTACTCGATTGAAGCCCTCCACGTTGGACTCGGAGTTGTGCAATGAGCGCCAACGAGACCTCATCCGTAAACGGGACACCACATGTGTACCCGCCCCCTTTCACGCGAAACAAAGAGCGACGGCTCACTGGGAAGTTCAACTATACTTCTTGGATTGAATTTCCCATACCCACGAGCCCCGCGCGACGCGTGCGCCTTTCTAAACCCACGCGGCAACGGACCTCCTTCTTACTAGGGTCGGACCAACGCGGGGGATTTCAGTTTTGTCCGTGTCCCCACACTCAACTTTTCCAAAAATCTTTGGCACACCCCATCTTCGCTGTCTTCCCAAGGCCTTCCCACAAACCAAAACACTCCGACCGGGAAGCAGCGTAGGGCGTGAGGTTGAGTGTCACACGTCCACCCCTTATGTACTTCCATGCGACTCTCGCTCCAAGCTTCCCACGAGTGCAAATGCAGGATCTTCCTTCTTCTACTGCAGATTGTGCACACTCGCCACTTGACAAGTTGCTTGCGCACATCCTACGGAGAGTGCCTTGGGTCCCTCTATACCCCTTCCGCCACTCCGAGCCAGTGGGACCAATGGTGAACATCCTCCTTACCTGTCTGGTTGGTGAATTTCCTGCTCAACCACAGTGGCCGTGGTCGAGGATGCATCGTCTTCGCAGCTTCGTCGACCTGAGTTAATGTCTTCATATCCCTCATGCCAAATGCTTGAGCTCCTCTTCTCCTCGCTCAATCACTCTTCCCTCCTTCTACTTCCCCTCGCCATCCCTCTCGCAATTGGGAGCCAGAGACAGACCCTCTGATGAGAGCCGTTACGGGTGCTACAGGGCGAAAAGCGCTTCAGGGTGTGCAACCCCCTTTCGTTGGCTGTACAAGCCAGGATAAAGATAGTGTGTGGTATCATTGTTCCCCCATCCTCCTCCTCCACGTCTGTCCTCCTCCTCTTCCTTCTATCTCCCTTCTCCTCTGCTATGGAAGTTACTCCACCTTCCAACTGGTGGATATCCATGGCATGGTGCTTTCTCATCACCATGTCATGCAGGGCGCGATGACAATCTAAAAGTTACTCATGGACGAGGTATGGATCGTTCCCCATGTGAATGGAGATGCCGTGTTCACACACTACCCCCCCCACCCCCTCCACACACACACACGCACACGCGCACGCGCACACACACACACACACACACACACACACGCACACTCAACCTCCTGATGAGTCTGTGAAAGCCCAATGAACAGTCCGGCACAACCATGCTTTTTTTCGTGGAGTGGGGTCTAGTGAACATGACAACACGCACCCGATGAACGAAAGGCTGAACCGAACAGCTCAGCAACTCAGCAATTTAGGAGGGGGAAAGGATGTCTGCCACAACAACTTCTTATGTCATCCTCGCTTGTCGACATGCATAAATGCTAAAACCCTCGCCAACATTTGCATAGCATTTGTGGGTGCCCCATATATGACAGATCCATAACAAACACAAAAGATAGCACAACTGCACCAAGACAAGCACATATGCATTAATCGGGGAAGAAACATGATATTAAACTGAACAATTGGGGGGGGGGAGGGGGGGGGTGCAGGAGAGGGGAGAGCATAGCCCCACTCCCCTGCCACAACAACATTTTCTCATCTCCGCCTGCTGTATTGTTTAATATGAACAAGTGGACCTGCCGCAGCTACGCTGCAGCGAAGGGCTATGAGGAAAACATTTGCGAAACACCCCAGCCATCAGTTTGACCCATCTTTGCGATGTACCCCTACCGGACGCTGCCCAGCTTTGCAAAATGCCCCGACAGTTACCACGTGTTCGTAGGTGCAATTGCAAAAGGGCAAGCGAATTTGCACACCCACCTGACAAGGGCATAACACAAACATGTCAGCCGAAAAGGCCATTCCATTTTTTTTTTTATTATTATTATTTCTGTTTGTGTGTGTGTGCGAGAGAGAGAGAGAACAGGTAAGTCTCGAGTGTGTGTGTGTGTGTGTGTGTGTGTGTGTGTGTGTGTGCGTGTGTGTAAAATTGTAAATATACACTGCCGGAGTTTTTTTTTTTTTTTTTTTTTTTTTTGGTTCTGGC